TCAAAGTGAACTAAAGGAAAATATACTAATGTTCTATAACACCAACAGAATCATTATAATGACACCAAATCTTGAAAAGTATTCAGCATCAATCTATTGTGATGAGACAAGCATACAACATGATAATAAAAAGAACTAGTACAAAATTAGAACAAATATCTTTCACTCATTTATTCAGTACTACAAGGACATACATAGTATAACAATCTCTCTTTGGATGAAACGTCTGCGATGTCCATTATTCCTGTTTTATATTCATGTGTGCTTCTAATATTTTTTTTTTCGATTTCTTTCTTCTTGTATGCACACTTTCAAATCAATATCAATTGGTCGTTTTGTCACATGCTTTTCTTGTACACGTGGTGTGATTTAATCTTTGTACTTTTATCAGTTTAATCCTAACTGCCACTCTTTTCTATTATTGTCTTTACAGTCGTTTCTCAAGCTATATAAGCAACGAAATAAATACAACCGGATATTATTTTTCATATTACAAATAAAGATAACGACGTCACTAGTCCTCTAGTAATGCCTATTACAATAAAAATCGTATCATATAGCTCAATCAATTGAGTTAACCTTTTTCTTCTATACCATATATGCGCACGTCTTCTTGTTTCCTGTTCTTTTCTTTGCGGTTGTTATTGTTTTAATAAACCAAACTCACGGACAAAACATAAATATACATTTCTATCCTAAAAAGCTGATCTTGAGATGTGGGTATTCTTTGTCGATTCACATCCCCACTCACACCCGATATAGTAAACTAATGAGTTTACGACGGAACAATTTGACTTGATAATATAAATTACTCTGTTAAAAGAATATTCAGTTTTGCATGTATGTCTTGTAGATCGTTACTTTTTTTTTCAAAAAAAAAAGAAAAGTAAGACGAGTATTGATAATGATGTTATTCCCTTATCATCGTTGCATATTTAGTTTCTTCATTTATCAGCAAGCATTTCTTTTTGTCTTATAAAACACATACATTGAGTTACATTTATACGATGCAGGTAAGATATTATCTTTGATGATGATTTCATACACAGAAATAATCCATGTCTTTTTTTACTTTAGCTCTTTGTTTTTCTTCTTCTCTTTAGTCCAATCGTGGGTGATTTGTCATTTGAATGGAATAAATTTAAACGTGATTATAACAAACATTATGGAACAATTGCTGAAGAAAACGAACGAAAAGAGATATTTTTTAATAATGTTCATCGAATGCGTTCTTACCAACAAACTCATCCCAAGGCAACATTTAAAATGTCAATCAATCATTTAATGGATCGACGCATTGAGGTAATTCTAAAGTAGAGATGTGAACTAATACAAGTCTAAGTATATAACAGGAGCTTGTGTCTGGTCCAAAACTTTCCTTTCAATCTCTTCCAGCATCATCCAAAAGTTCTGTTGATGTAAAGAACTTACCTAAATCACTTGATTGGCGTACAAGAAATGTAATCTCACCTGTATACTCAGGTGAACGTGGAGTAATCGTAACTGCAATTGTCAGTACCGGTAAGTATGAATAAAGATCTATTCGATGAAATCTCTTATTCGCCTATTATTTAATAGAACTTGTGGAGTCACTTCATGCCATTGAAACGGGTAATCTTGTCAAAGGCAGTATTTCACGTGTATATGATTGTTGTCAACAACCAATTGATGCTTTTGACTGTATCCAAAATATGAGTGGTATTTGTTATAACAGTGACTATCCGACCGCTCTTGATCAATGTGAACCAGACAAATGCAAACCATTTACTACAGTTCGTAAATATACAAGACTGAAATAGAATATTTGAAGAGAAGAGTGCTTCGATTTTCTTTAACATTATCCACACATTCTGTGTCAAATTAGAGCGTACTAAAAACACATGAGATTGAGAGTGTGGGTGATACTAAATGAAACTAGAACATTACATCTGTTTGAAAAATATATAATTTTCTATATTGTATATTGATCTATGAGATTTTGCAATGTATTTAAATTACAGTTTGACACAATCAAAAGGCTCGCAGAACCAGATGAAGATACAATGTTAGCTTGGATTCAAGACTCAACACTATGGGCGGAGATAAATGTTGCTGGTGAAGGCTTCCATACCTATACCGAAGGTAGGAAGATGCATTCGAAATATTTATTTACATTTTACTTTTTTCTTTTAGGTATTTATGATGTGTCTTCATGTTCAGAAGGACAGGTGGATTATGTGGTAAGAGAAAAACAATAGATAATATTGTTTCGTTCATTTTTTAATGTAACTCTTTGCTTGAAGGTGCAAATCGTTGGTTATGGTGTCGAAAAAGACATACCGTACTGGTTATGTAAAAATAGTTGGAGTAAGTTACCATTTGTATCAAGTTCATCTTTATTATTTTAAATTATTTTAGGTGAGGAATGGGGAGAGAAGGGCTTTTTTCGTATTGCACGCGGTAAGAATATGTGTAACATCGCTACTGTTGTCATACAAGTGGCCAATTCAAAGAAAAGTGATGCTCCACGACGATATTCAATTGTATCAATGTCATTCGCTTTTACATTGGCAATTATTTCGCGAAAAATTACTACTTATTATTGATTGACACATTGAAACTATAAAAATAGATGAAGATGTACTTCATTCACTTTCGTTTCCTTTCTCTTTTTGAGTTGTCTACAATAAAATTATTAATCACAAATCGTTTGCTGAAATGTTGTAATCTATTTATTCACTAAGTTAGAATTTAATTCTTAATGTCCGCTTAAAAGAAAATGCTTTTTCTACTGGAATCTTCTCTTGTGTTTACTATTGAATACGAAGGTCACCGGAAGTTCATCTGCAGTTTTGTTTGATCTGAAAAGTTGACGTTTAAAATTGATATAAAAATAGTCTTCATCAGAATAAATTATTAAGTCAGTATTTAGTTCAAAATATCGTCTTGTCGATAAATCAACATCTTTCATAGGTATCTCGTTAATCGATGTATATCTATACATATCATACACATAGATTTGTTTTACCTGTGCTGTCAATCGTACGTCGGCGGGATTCAAATGTGAACAACTGAAGTTCCATGCCAGTAGAGTCGACATGAATATATTACTAGGCAAAAGTTCATAATTAGTCCGTTCAAAAGTAATTGTGGTAGATAGGTTTGTTTCATGCTTTTCATAAATCCTTGGCTTACCAGCCGAGAATAATTCTGGAAAGATATCAGTAGATGAAACTTGTTGTTGAGTAAACGATGGTGGTGGTGATATTGATGACAATGGAAGAATAACAGGTAAGTCAATAAAAGTAGCTGATGAATTAAGAAAGAGCGATGTGTTCATAGCAAATGCAGATGGCCAATAAGTGGGAAACATAGCATTCGAAGTAGCAACACGAATAGAATGACCAGTAAAGAAAGTCCATGTAGTGAAATGAAGCCGAAAAGTGATTATGTACGTATGATTCGGTTCGAGAGGGGCTGATGGTGTTTGCCGTTGAGCTCCATTTAGTGCACCTGTTGTTACAAGCCATACTTGACCATTATTATCCACATCTTCCAATCGTACAATCCAGTGAGCCATCGGAGCAGTAGCACTCACCTATATCCACATAAAAGATACAGAAATAATATTTACAGAATTTTCAATGTTTAGAATGATTCTATTAGTACCTGAAGTGATACATTGACAAAACCAATAATTTCAATAATTTCATTGATTGGATCACTCTGATATACGAGAGAATGTTCATCATAGGATTGTTGATGCCCTGTCAATCCACCGAGCCAAAGACCACTTTCGAAGCCAATCCAAGGTCGATATTCTAGTGTATCCACATTACTGTTGTTTCTTTTTCCTTCTACAGATGCTGGTATCTGTTCAGTCAACATTTGATCGTTAGTCATGTACATACGTCGTGTTCGTTGACGAGGAATTGGCCATTGAGGCTCATATCGATATGTACCCGTAGTAAGACTTGTTCTAATGAATAATGTAATGTCAGGCTCATTTAAAATGTCACTGTTCCCATTGTCATCTTTGAGCCAATGATTGAACCATCGAACCATTTCAGCATTGCTATCAAAACCAGGACCTGGATTACGATTCACATTATCAGGCATTGTATGAACAAATGGACCAACAACAACTTTAATTTTGGGCGAAATTTGATGTGCATGTTCATATATATTAATAGCAGTATCTTTATAACTAGAATATACGAATCACTAAAAATAGAAATTTATTTCGTCTATAGCACTTACGGATCGTAAAGTCCTCCGATTAAATAAGTGGGCAGAGTGAGATTAGCATAGGCATATTTGATTGAATGTTTTCTCCAAAATGAATCATCCAATTGATGTTCAAGATAGATATCGGCCCAAGGTCTTCTTGTAAATCGTTCTTTAATCCATTGTTCATTCATAACATAATTAGGTGTAGCTGGTAATGCATTTGCATGATCAATTGAAACTATATAATGATCTAGATGCATAATACCATCTGGATAATGAATATCGTTCTTATATAGATCATCTGAAGCATGTGCAGCAAATATAGTTCGAAGAGCAGGTGGTCGTCGTAATGTAGCCATCATTAGAGAATTAAATGCTGACCAACTCAAACCAAACATACCCACACGACCATTAGAGTGAGAATAATCAGCAAGTTGTTTAATTACATGTTCACAATCATCTAGTTCTTGTGTGGTATATTCACGTTCAATGAGAACACCTTCGGATGAGCCCGTGCCACGAATATCAACTTTAGCTACCTGAAGAGAAAATAGATAAGAGCACATCATAATATTCATCATATTCATGTACTTACAGTGAAACCTCGTCGTGCTAGATAGAAAATATTGGACTGATCAGCATTGAAGGAATTGTCATCTTTTCGATAGGGTTTATATTCGAGTAGAACAGGGAATTTTTCATTGCCATGTTTTGCCACGGGAATAGTGAGTGTAGTAGATAGGCGTACACCATCGGGCATTGAAAGCCATACATTTTCTGTCGTAAATATATAGGTATCTGAAACTCCGGCTATCAAGTAGTGTAATTGCAAAGAAAAGATAAGAGCATTAATAAAACACATGATTAAAATAAAAGTAGATCTAACTTGTAACGATTGTAGATATGAAGAAGTATTATTTTTACTTTTTGTGTTCGAAGCATAGATATTTGCTAAGAATACAAATGATACAGAACAAATGTCAAAAATAAGCGACATTAAATCTGAGAGAATATTTAGAACAAAAATAATCGATATAGAGTTTAAACCTTTTTTTTGTGGTTTTCGAATGTCACTTGTAAAGATAATGGTGAATATGTAGATATTTATTCAGGATATATCAAGTAATAATGAATAAAACTTAAAAAAGAAAGGATGAATGTGGGTGTGGATAGGTGACAGAGAGTATACCCACACTTTTCAACTTTGTTAGTTGGAATAATGAACTCTAGAAATCAACTGAAAGAAAGCTAGCATGGAACATTGTTATCGTTTAGTAAGAGAAAATAGATTAAAATAAAAAATAATGTATTGTGTTCTATTTGAATAAGTACATCGAACAGTCAATGAAGATAAAATAATCACATAATTGTCCATATTAAGATTGGCAAAGTAACCATAACCATTGTCATTCTATTATATGAATCTTATAATGTGAAGAAAATGTAATGTTATACTCACTTGTCTACTGATGAGCTTGCTAAATACACAATAGAAATTGAGAAAGAAACGATTGAAGATAGAGAACTTAGACTACCTGTTGATGTTGTTGTCGATGTTGGTGTAGATGATGGTGTTGGTGTTGATACTGGAAAACATGGCTCATTGTTAATTAGTTTAAACATAAGAACACGATGATTTACACGGTCACATACGTAGAGGTTGCCATCATTATCAAATTTTAAGTCGATCGGCTGATCAAATTGCGTCAGTTTATCGCCTGTACCTATTATCACGCATCGTTAGATAAAAAATACAAATTCAAACAAATTTTATTTGTATAATCTTACTTTATCACGTTACTAACAAAAATTAAATCGAGGTTTTTTCAAATAATATACATGAAGTGAAAAGGATTGTTAAGCAAGCAGATTTTCCGTCTCAAGACGAAGTAGAATAGGTAATAGTGAGATTTCTTCATCATAGTTAAACTAACTCTCTTGTGCTTCGAATTCAAATCCCGTTAAGAGCTCGCTTAACGTCTGATAAATCGAAGGAAATCAGTTAGAAATCTATATTCATACCTGATCCACCAGCAATGGTGTCACCCACTAATGCATTATACAACGAACGTTGAATTCGTTCATTGGCTGAATCAGCTACATATACAACATGAGTTTCATCATCAACCCATACAGAACTTGGTTCCGACAACGACTCGTGATCACTGCCTCCTTCTCCTGTGCTCAATCCAGCCACTGTGGTACCATTGTGTGCATCTTTTTCCCATTTCTGAATTCGATTATTGACATAATCAGCGATGTACACCGTACCACTGTTTCCATCGACATAAATACCTTCAGGAGAACTGAGATACTCGCTCGTCGTTCCTTGATAATTTTCTCGACCAGCAACAGTAGTGGTGATATTCGTTTGAGATGACCATTTGTACACACAACTTCTACCAGCCGATGACATATAGACATTTTTCTCTTTGTCAACCGATACACCCATAC